CTTTGGATTCGCAAGGAAAAGACGGAACTAGGGCGGCCTTTACCGAGAGATAGCAACAGCGCTAGGGAGGCGATCGCGAGCTTGTTGGAGCGATGACAACGACGGTGGTGAAAACAAAGGAAGAAAAACGCAGCGATGATGACGTCTTGGTACTTATAAGCGCGGTAGCGAAGCTCAAGGAAGCCACGACGAGCTATTTCCGTGCCGGTAGCGACATCAAAGACGGCCACGACACGCTGGAACAGCCGAAGAAGGAGCACGACAATGTAAGCTTAGGCGGTGAACACTTTGTTCACAAAAATTACAAAATTGCCATCGCCAAAAATTCACAATTTACTCTCAAATTTTTCATAACAACTCAAAAATCTCCAAAAACAAAAGTTGTTCAAAATTGAAAGTTCTACAACTTTGCTTCTATAACCATCTCTTAATTACATCTAGATTTTGAAATGGATTTTCGGGGTAGGATTTAAATCTTTGAAAAGCGGGGTTTTCTCGAAAAATTCAAAATCCAAACAAACTTTGAATTTAAGTCAAACAATACAATTCAACACATACCACATGAATATAAACTTGTTTTAGTGTATGCATCTCAAAGTTTTCACCAAATGCCAAATGCTTTGCAATGCATATGATGACATGTCAGGTTTTAGTATTTTAAACACCCGAGGTGTTACACTCATGGACCGGCTTCCCAGCAAAAGTGATGCCTTCATCATTTATTGGAGGCCCACGTGACATGAGGCGTCGGTACATGGACGCCATGCTCTGGTACGGAGGTTTGGTAAACCGGACATCATCCTGACTATGGCATGTAACCCAAACTGGGATGAGATCAAGCGTGAACTCTCTACCCTGGCCAGACACCACAGGATCGTCCAGATCTCATTGTTTGGGTCTTTAGAGCAAAACTACAAGAGCTGAAGGATAGACTACTAAAATCGGATATCCTTGGAAAGGTGCGAGCACATGTTTATGTTGTGGAGTTCCAGAAGAGGGATCTGCCGCATGCACATTTTTTGCTAATCATGGATAGGAAGTACAAGATCACATGTCCAGAGCAGTATGATCGCCTCATCTCAGTTGAGCTCCCGAACAAGAAGAAGTACCCAGTCTTGTACAAGATGGTTACCAAACATATGATGCATGGGCCTTGCAGACTGCTTAATCGCGATTGTCCATGCACAAAGGGTCATGATTCCTACAAGAACTATTACCCTAGACCTTTCTGCGATGTCACAGTACAGACGGCGTGAAGATGGTCGAAAAGAAAAAGCTCGCGGACACAAGCTTGACAACAGATGGGTCGTGCCATATAACCCGTATCTCCTCCGTCTATTCAACTGCCACATTAATGTTGAGGCATGTGGGAGCATCAAGGCAGTCAAGTATCTGTTTAAGTACATTTACAAGGGTCATGACCGGGCGTCTGTGGTTATGAGAGAGGCTGACAAGGAGGATAGTGAACGGAATGTTGATGAGAACCCCCCTAGAAGCCTTGTGGAGGATATACGGGTTTGATTTGAGTGATAGGTACCCTTCTGTTTTGTCCTTACAGCTACATCTTCTGGACATGCACATGGTGTCATTTCACCGGCACCAGGGGATTCGACGAGTGCTTAATCGTCCAGGTGCTAACAAATCAAAGCTTACAGCGTACTTCGAGAAGAACATGATAGATGAAACAGCTCGAGGTATATTGTGCTGGGACTTTCCTGAGTTCTATACGTGGCAAGCATAGGGCAAAGTTTGGCAAAATAGGGTACGTCGTGATACATTACGACAGATTGGAAGAATCATGTCTGCCAATCCAACCGAGGGGGAGCGTTACTATCTTAGGGTTCTCCTGAACCACGTGGCAGGTGCAACCTCCTTTGAGTGTCTAAGGACCGTGGATGGCAAAATCCTACCGACCTTCCGTGAAGCTACAGAAAGAAGGGGCTTAATCGAAGAGGACAACACGCTGAACAAGAGTCTCACTGAGGCAACCGAGTGGATGATGCCATATGCGCTGTGAAGGCTCTTTGCAATAATATTGGTATTTTATGAGCCCAGTGATGTGTTTAGACTAAGAGAAACACAAGGAGGCAATTTCGGAGGACTACAGGTGCAAAATCAATTCACCTTCATGGTAGAGCAGATGGTCCTCATGGATATTAGAAAATTACTACAATCAATGCAGAAGGATATAAAGATGTACCCACTTCCTGATATCGATGACACATATGATGCCTCTCGTGATATTCCTAGAGAGATTTTTGAGGAGGCTAGCTTTGAGGCTAACGAGGATGGTGTGGCTCTGTCAGACACCCTTAACGAGGAGCAGCGGGCTACATACGATGAGATCATGTCCTCGGTTGATACCAAGGATGGGGGTCTCTTCTTTGTGGATGGTCCTGGCGGGACCGAAAAGACTTATCTGTACAGAGCACTTGTCGCAACTATACGCACTCAGAAAAAGATTGCTGTGGCAACAGCTACATCTGGTGTCGCAGCCTCAATAATGCCTGGTGGTAGAACCGCCCACTAGCACTTCAAGATTCCCCTCACCATTGATAATGGGGCCTTTTGCACCTTCACAAAATAGAGTGGTACTGCCAAGCTACTTCGAGCATCATCTCTCATTATTTGGGACGAGGCTAGCATGACAAAGAGGTAGTCTGTCGAGGTGCTGGACAATAGTCTCTGTGATATAATGGATCGATCAGAGCTGTCATTCGGTGGGAAGACCATGGTGTTCGGTGGAGATTTCAGACAGGTTCTTCCCGTTGTTCGGAGAGGGTCGAGGGCTCAGGTGGTTGGTGCCTCGCTACGTATGTCGTACCTTTGGGATTCCATGCGACATCTAAAACTGGTGCGCAACATGAGGGCAAAGAGCGACCCGTGGTTTGCAGAATACTTGTTGCGCGTCGATGGAGGATCTGAGGAGGCGACTGTTGATGATGAAATCCGTCTTCCTCATGATATATGCATACCGCACACCAAGGAAGATAGTGACCTTGATACTCTAATTGACTGCATATTCCCTAACCTCAATGCGAATATGTCAAGCAAAGATTATATCACCTCTCGAGCGATCTTATCTACGCGGAATGATTGGGTTGATATAATTAATATGAGGATGATATGTCATTTCCACGGGAAAGAGATGGTGTACCATAGTTTTGACTGTGCAGTGGATGATCCGCACAACTACTACCCTGAGGAATTCCTTAACACTTTGACATCCAATGGTCTACCTCCACATATGTTGAAGCCGAAGATTGGTTGTCCGGTCATATTGCTTAGGAACATTGACCCTGCAAACGAACTTTGTAATGGTACCAGGCTTATCATACGGGGGTTTCAAAAGAATACCATAGATGTGAAAATTGTATTGGGACAGCACTCTGGAAAGCGGGTTTTTCTGCCTCGTATACCCTTATGCCCGTCGGACGATGAGATGTTCTCTTTCCAATTTAAGCGAAAGCAGTTCCCTATCCAGCTCAGCTTCGTGATGACCGTTAACAAGTCGCAGGGCTAGACTATCTCTAACGTCGGGGTATACTTACTGGAATCAGTGTTCTCGCACGACCAATTGTATGTGGCGCTATCAAGAGCTACGGCAAGATCGAATATTAAGATCCTAGCCGTGCTGGCTGCTGAGAAGGACGTGAACAAAGGGAAAGTGAAAAGGAAAGGGAAGGTGAGCAAAAAAGAGACAAATGATATGTTCACAAAGAATATCGTATATAAAAAGGTTCTAACTTCATAAAAGAGGTAATGTATCACACGTCGATACATAGTTTTTTAGATATCAAATGGTACTTTAACTTTAAAAATTAACAAACAACTTATATGCAGGATATTTCTAATTACAGTTTCAGCCATCTGCATGCTTCAACTGCAAGAAGTCAGACATCACATCTTGAAGTAGAAAATCTTCTGGATCATCATTGATTGGTGACCAACTGCAGCTTGGTATTCGTGCAAAGCACGTTCTCTTAGTTGAACTATTGAGAGATTAGATTCTTAATTGTAGAATAGATTTAAAATATGTATTGTGAAACACAAAGTTGTTATGATTATCTTTCTGTAGCACTTGATTACTAAATAAGTGTAAACTTATCTTTCGCATATCGTAGGCATGAAGTGATGCGACAATTGAAGTTGATATTTTAGTTTTACATTCAAATTTAGAGTTATATTTTAACTATCTATCTTTCGTGAAAACTTATGTAATATTGATTAGGACGTTACGATTGCGGTATCTATTTTAGATAATAGTATAACACACGCTCATACATATGTTATCGTGGTATTATGTGTTCCAGTTGTAACGCATGGCTATTTATCTAGTACTAATAAAAAAATAAATTACAGAATCCGCCAGTAAACCACGAGACGAATTTATTAAGCCTAATTAATCCGTTATTAGCACATGTATGTACTGTAGCACTTTATTGTCAAATTATGGAATAATTAGGCTTAAAAAATTTGTCTCACAAATTAGTCGTATACTGTACAATTAATTATTTTTTAGTCTATATTTAATATTCCATACATGTGTTAAATATTTAATGTGACAGAGCGCAAAGTTTTAAGGTGAGAACTAAATCAGGGCTAAATATGGTAGTACATGACCGAGGACAACTTCGTTTGGGACAGGAGTTTGAATGAAAAAAGAAACAGGAAACAATGTTATGATTGCTTGCCTTCAGTCCTTCTCGTTCCCGATCCCCCGCACCCACGCAGCGGAGCTGGGAGGCGAGGCCCGAGGGTATTCTTCCTTCCTTCGCCGCTAAGCACGCCACCACGCGCAGCCAACCCAGGCAAGCGTCGCGGTCTCCCCCCACCCCGAATCTGATGCTTCATCGATTGGTTCCAATCCTCGCTACCTCCATAGTCATGCTCGAGATTGCGCGTGATTAGGAACAGGGACCAATCAGATTGCATTCAGATTTGGGGGGAGCAGGAGGGGAGCCATTGCCGGTGCTCTGATCGTCGTCGGAGGTCGAGGGATGGTAGGGGTGCTGTCGAATCGCGTGGATCGGGACGACCTCAAGGCCGGGGATCACATCTACACTTGGCGGGCCGCCTACATCTACGCCCACCACGGTACGCTTCCCCTGTTATTTCCCTTCATTGGTTTGATATCAAATCGAAGCGCCACTAGATTTGGATCTCATTTCGAACCCTAATAAAGTGGTAATCAAGTGATGAATAACACTACTAATTCTATTGACTTATTACATGCGTAGGTTAACATTACTGATGGGCAAACATCACTGCCTCGCACGCAAAAGTAACAATAGCAATTTTTTGGTGTGGTGGCTTGGTGTTGGGGTATAAATGAAACCTTTGCGAGAATCACGAATCGGATGTCAATTTTAGAATTTTCTCCTTTTTTGATTGCTGTCTATCAAAGCCCATTCTTCTAATTAAGAGATTCTTTGCTCATCACCCTGTTTCACCAGAATTGCCTTTTTAGTTAATCTTCACCATAATTGTTGTTTGAACAAAAAGATCACAATAAGATTCAGTAAAACTAAACCCTTGGTAGGAGGCCGTTGATGAAAAAGGCACGCGAAAGCTTGAACCCGAGTCCTACTATGATGAATATAAGTGCACTTGATATTTATGGAAAGTTATTACATTTGTGTAGTTTCTTGAAGCTGAAAGCAATCAGGAGTCCATTGTTGAAAAAGGTCTAGTCGTCTGTGAAAGCTCGAACATTCCTTTAGTAATAATGAATATAAGCGCAACTGAAATTCATGGAAGCCATATGTTTGTGTATTATGCCATTCGCAAGTTCATAGAGCCAAATTTGCTCCACCCATAAATACATATTTCATAATAGTGTCATCAGACCATAGATCTATTCTGGCATGGCATAACCAGACAATAAGTTGGAACATAGCAACCCCTCATGTTCTTAAAAAAATGGTGTGAACATAAACTCTCCTTTCAAATTTGTGCACTTATTTTGCTCTTAGTAGGTTATTGAGTTTAATCTGAGTTTTGTGGTACATTATCAGGGATATATGCTGGAGATGGCATGGTCATCCATTTTACAAGGGCAGCTGGACATGAGATCGGAACAGGAACATTCTTGGATTGGTTCCTTTATAGCTCCTCTCCAGCAGCAACTGAGGGTCCTCCCTGCCAGAAATGTGGCCACCTAGTCAAGTCTGATGGTGTCATCACTTCTTGCCTCGATTGCTTCTTAGATGGGGGCAGCCTGTACCTCTTTGACTATGCTGTGTCGCCTGCTTTCTTCCTTGCCAAAGCACGCGGAGGAACCTGCACCCTGGCTGCCTCTGACCCCAGTGATGTTGTGATCCACCGTGCACGATACCTCCTGGACAATGGGTTTGGCATGTACTCCCTGTTCAAGAACAACTGCGAGGATTTTGCTATATACTGCAAGACTGGGCTGCTTATGGAGACTGCTTTCAGTGTTGGCCGTAGCGGGCAGCTTGCATCTCTGACTGCTGCCTTCAGTGCTGTGGCCTCGTCGCCATTGCGTTTCCTGACAACTAGTGCTGGTGGCCTGGCAATTGTGACCAGCGGGATGTATTGTGTCGGGCGATATGTGTCGGATATTGGTGTTCGGCGTGATGTTGTCAAGGTCCCTGTCGAAAGGCTTGTGGAGCAGAATGTTACTTCGATTCCTCAAAGTCGGGCTACAGAGACAGATATCGCAGCAGGAGCACCGCAGCAGCAGTTGGAGGTTCCTTGTATGGTTGCTGAGGAAGCATCCATTATACCCCCCGTGGCACCGTGATCCATTGATGAAATGTCATGTAGCAGGTGTTGGCATGAGACAAGACAACTGGAACTACATACTTGTGTGGAAGTACATGTAATGATGTATCTGGTGGTGTTATGTAATCCATGGTAGCTGCTGCTGATGTTCCAAGCAAGCAATGATGATGATGGATGTGATTCCATTGCCGTTATTATTACAGAATTGAAAAGACCTGTATTTGCACTCAATTATGCAGGAGCTTGATGATGTCTGTTACACAGTTGCTTATGGATGCATCTAATTGTGCAAAGTTGCTATACATTAGCAATCTTGACATGCTCTTCACTTAGACCACTACATATGTATAGATTAAAGCAAGCAACACGAGCAATTCTTTTGGAATAGTGGAAAATGAACTGATTGCAGACGTTGCAGTGTACGCTCCCTCGACTCGATTTCCTTCATTTTACAACAGAGATTTTTGCAAGGCCTGGTGACCAGAGATCATCAGAGCACAAATTTGGTTGGACTAGAAACCATAACATTCATATTCTAGTTCTTAGGCCTTTGTTTAGATTAGGGTTATGAATCAGTATTTGGCACTGTAACACTTTCGTTTGTATTTGACAATTATTGTCCAATCATGACCTAACTAGGCTTAAAAGATTCGTCTCGTAATTTACAATCAAACTGTGTAATTAGTTATTTTTTTTATCTACATTTAATACTCCATGCATATGTCCAAAGATTTGATGTAATGGAGAGAGAGTGAAAAAACTTGCAATCTAAACAAAGGCCTTATTAATGTTACTCCATTTATCTCTGAACAAAGTGATGTCACATCAGCAACATAACGACCTTTGGAATGAGCCAGTGTACTAAATACATACACCATCGTGGCTCTTTAACAATTCCATTTTAAAAATACTTTAGTTAATTCCAACAGCATTTGAGGCCAAACGTAATTTATTAAACTACAGCTGTTCCAACGGCACCGCCGAAGTTTGGAACCATATTCTTTGTAGATGGCATTCCAGCAACAACGTCCTCCTCGATGCCACATTCATTTTTGCCCCTTATGATCTTGAAGTATCCATCCTGGAAAGTATTAACCCAATAGAAGTTATTAATTGTTGAAAACATGATACGAAGTTTTAAGGAATCGCTGTTATTTTGATAAGTTGGATATTTGTCACAAACTTACATCACCCCAGCCCCTATTCCACTGATTTGCCAGAAGCTGCAAAGACGAAAAGATCATACACAACAATTTAGGGCCTCATGGTTTGATAATGTACAGAATAAAATATGGAGATAGAACATACCCAGTAATCCTCTCCAGCATCACTGGTTCCCCATCCAATCAACTTGACGGCATGGCCACCCATAATGCCACCGGTGATGTGCTTGTATACTCCAGATTTGTAGTGTGCGAAATCCTTGACAGATTTTTCATTGCCAAATCAGAAAAAAAAATAAAGTGCATATGAATACCAGGTTTTTTTCCGCTCAAATGATATATTTTCTAAGACTGAATGATCCCAAAGCATATTACTCTATATACTAGATTTGTTATTTGGCTTTTGTCATGTCATGTCCTTACTAACCTTTTAGTTAGACAATAGTCTTTTTAAGTTTTTGTATGCAATGTTTGTCCTCTAAAAGTATCTGCACCCCATAGTCCATAACGTCTCAGCTACACAAAATTTGTTGACAAAATGCATGGAGAACTTGAGACAAAGCAACTGGACATTACCTCGTAAACTGTGAAAGCGACTTCTACAGGACCATTTTTGTAGACCTCTGCCATTATGTCATGTGGATCTGAATTTATTCTATACGCATCAATGCTGAAATGCTTCTTTTCCTGCCAAACTTGGTTCTGCTCCTTGCATTTCTTTTCACACTTAGGTGTAGCATAAGCAGGTTCACATCCAGGATGCTTGCAACCGACCTGATCGAAGTATGGATCACACTGCAACACAGAGCAAAGTTAACATTATCTTTGTATACCATGATGAAAATTTTCATGATGGTCATCAGCTATGCTCTGAATACAAAAAGAGATCAACTTATTTTGCAAACTGTAAATCAAGGCACTATCATGGTCTGCCTCAAACCAAGTGTTGAGATCAACTTATTAGAGTGTAATTTTTCGTGACGGTGTATTTATACCATGTTGGGATAACTCTTACAACCATATAGAAACAGCTGAAGATTATGATTTGCTCGTACTAACACTAGGTTCCATTGGGGAAAAGAGTTAAGGTGATTCAAATTTACACTCTAATTAATCATTATAGCATTTAGCAAAATGAAGTCAGTGCTGCATAAACTAACTCAACACATATTGTGTTAGTAATTCATGTGCCATTCAGTTTCCACAAAATTAGTTTGAGATATGCAGTATATCACTTGTTTGATGTAGGATCATAAAACTCCTAGAAAATAGTAGGATTGCTGCTGAAGCATACAGAGAAATTCAAGCAATTGAGTAGAAAATACGCCAATAGACCTATACCTCATCAGTAACAACACCATTTTGAACAAAGTAGCGCCATGCCGCTATAGGATAGCCTCCATCACACCCATCGCCGCACATAAAACCGCAGCATGCCAGCAGGTCATTGACTGATAGTAAAATGCTCTGCAAGGAAAATAACAATAGCTTGGTTATGTGAGAAAAGAACAAAACATGCCTTTATAATCTTTTGTTAAAAAAACTGTGAGAACAGCAAGGTCTTTTGTATCCACTCACCGTGTTGAAGTGAATGCAAAAACGGTCCTGGAGGCACTCCACAGCACCAAAAGCCCAACAAGAGCCACAATGACCCTGTTTTCATCAGACAAAACATTATACTGTAAGCATGTTGCCTCATTCTTTTAGGCGCTAATAATATATGGTAGACCATTGAACTTACTTGATCTGCTCACGAAGACCAGGATTATCCAGGATTGAAAAATTTCATACAAGAAATGAGTATCCGTCAGGCAACTAAAATTGATATACAGCTGAAATGCACCGAGTTAACCAAATAAACCTACCAAGTATGGTCCCAATTGTGCTGCAACGAGACCATGCAGATCTAGCGTCAAACTCTTTTGGAAGTTCCAGTGATCTTGAATAAGTTTTGACAGGAACATCGCTTAGTACATTCTTTGGTGCTGGTTTCACTCCAAGTATGTGCTTAAATTGTGCAATCTGCACCGAAAAGGCGAAAAGGATAGTTTTGAGGTCACTGAAGTAACAGAAGATAGATGATGCTTTTGTCAGTTTATGGATGCAATCGACAGGAGTTGTTGCCACTTACGGTATAGTTTGAAAAGTAAGGATTACGTGAGGCTGTCCACCCAGCGCTGGGATGGTTGTTGACCGTCTCGATGATGTCCTCCTGTGACAGCAGACATATAATACCATGAGTAATTGTAGAAACAAGAGAAAATTAGGTTGATTTGAGGGTATAAGAAGAGGCTTAAAAAAGACCTGGATGATTCTCATGGAATTGTCTCCGACCTCAACTCCAACTACCTGCACAGACATATACATATGTGATTATATATGCCTTCACTGACCCCACCCACGGTCATCTGGAAATAGTAGGCAGGCTGCCGAGAGTTCAATCTTGAAGGGAGACATAAGGCTCGATAAAGTGCAAGTGTGGTTTGGTATTTCAGAGCCTTCAACTCAAAATATGATTCCTAGTAGAGACCATCAACATATATACAAAATTATGAAATCTGGCAATATAAGATAGTAGATAGATGTTGCTTTATTCATTATGAAAGTAGCTCCATAATATTTAATCATTTTTACTTAAATAAAATTCCCATATTTTCATAAAAGTTGCTAGTCAAAATGTGACGTTGTACACCAGTTCAAAATCTTAGGATTCTTGTATTAATATACAGGAAATCAATCATTGAAAGAAGCAGATCTGTGGGCGTAACTTGTGATAGGATCCCATCCCACAGGCGAAGAATTAAACATGCTCGGTTTTGGTCGATTATATGTTACTGTTCAGTTAATGCCTTCGTAGTGTTCTATTTACACAATTTTACAGCGCAGCTAAAGAGACGGGAGTGGAACAGGATGCGGACCTGAGGGGCGGCAGCAGAGACGAGGAGTGCAAGCAGCAGCAACTGCTGCGGCAGTCCACCGCCCATCTTCCTCTAGTTCCCCTCTTGCTGCTCCTCTCCCCTGCAGCAGCACACACCACAGAGGAACACGAGATGGAATCTAATAAGCAGGGTGGGCGGGCGCTGAGCAGGAAGTAAGGTGTAAGGGATCAGATCAGATCAGATCAAGCTCAAGGGCCGAATAGAGTAAGCAAACAAGATCAAAATCCTGGAAGCAGATGGGAGTTGTCGATCCAGTACCTTGTTCTTGAAGCCTGCTTGCTTTGCTTCGCTTCTCCTCTCCTCTTCTTCCGCCAATTGAAGTACTCCTACACCAGTGTATATTTATAAATAATACTACTACTGCAACTGCTGGGTGGGGGGCGTGTGGGGTTGGGGATATGAGAGGATTTTTTTCGTTGCTTGCTCAGTTGTTGCTTGCGACTGCGACGTGATGCTGGCTCCGTTTGGATTCAAAAAAATTTGCGCACCACTCGTCACGTCAAATTTTACGGCACATGCATAGAGTACTAAATATAGATAAAAAAAAAATTAATTACATAATTGGGTGAAAAATCACGAGACGAAACATTTGAACCTAATTAGTCCATAATTAAACATTAATTACTAAATATAAACAAAAATGTTACCGTAGCTAAAATCCAAAAAAATTTGATCTAAACGGGGCCTTGATCAATGAGAAAACGCAGCAAGGAGGCGGCTTTTGTCTTCCTCTCTCTTTCGCGGAGTCTCGGGTGGTGACGTGACGCCCATTATTTCCTGGGTGGCCTTCCCGTTCCCGGCCCATCAGGCAGCTGTGGCTTGCGTGCTGCCACTGGCGACCTCGCGTGCGCGGCCACGCCGGTCGTTACAACCGTATATATATCTTTCTTCGCCTCACGTAGCAGCTACGTACGTACCTCCCGTTACCAGGCCTGATTGACCAATCAATCGCCTTGGCCTGCCCGTTTTGCAATCGCTCTGGTTGCTACCGTGTACCAGACGACTCTAATTCGCTTGGTTGGTACTGGATTTGTGACTTTGTGTACAAGGAGCAACTTTAGACTTGAGCCCCCTCTTTGAGGACGCACCAGCGAAATTGTAAGCTCTGTTCATGTTGGTTTGATTGATAAGTTATGGCTGAAGGTATTGTTGGCTGATTTGTTGTGAGAAAAAAATATTGTTCGTTTGACTGAAAAAGTACGACTTATAAGTCAAGCGAACAGGGCAATCATCGTGGAAGGCGTTGCTTCAAATATAGGGCGATATTAACATACTTAGGGCCTGTTAAATTTGGTATTAAAATCGGCTGAAGCTATTTTGTTGTAAGAGAAAAATACTGTAGATTCTAATTGATAAGTCGGCTGATAAGTAAGCGAAGGCCCTTGGTCGTGTAAACGATGCGGTAGCATTAATTGCCCTGCATGTAGAAGTTGAGTTTCTTGATTTTACACGCATGTCTGCTCACACCGCATGGCTATTCTAGTGCACCAGACATTTTGTATTTTATTTTTATTGGATGCTATTGGGCCATGCATGTGCGCTGCTGGAATGAAAAAAAAAACAACGTGTCTGGTGTCTGCTCTAATAGGGAAGAGAGCCTACGATGATGCTACAATGTCAATGAGGAGGGAATAAAAGAGAAAGAGAAAAAAAAACCTAATAATGAGTGGGTCTTTCCTAAAGTCGAGCCTAGAAAACAGGACCTTTAAAAGCAGTGGAAACCTTAAATCAAAAGTGTGACCCTAATTTAAGGGCTATTCCAAAAGCTGCTCTTAAAAAAAAGATTTAATTGAATATGCATGTCATTTTAATCGTCACATTTTAGAGATATACTACTACAATTCATATATTCGTAACCACATCATCACAATTTGTGCAACATTAGATACATTCCATGTTGTACGTCTAGGACTCGATTTGACCCTTCCTTTACTACCATATTTTTGTAAAGACTAAAAATACTCTATCTCTACTTCTCACCAGCAACTTTCACCCCGCTCAAGAGTTGGCCATGGCAGGCTTGGGCCAGCATGAGCCTATATTCCAATGGTTCAAGGCCAGCCACACCATTTTCCACTTGGGATCCAACCCTAAACCTGCCATCCTTTTCTCCAAATTTAACCCACCTTATATTCGTAGTTGTCATCTCACGGACCCGACAATGCCAACATCTCTACCGAGGTCGATTAGTCATTTCCACTCGGGTGCTATGTACGGTGAAGCTCCTCCAGTGACAAATCTATGATCGTGTGGGTTAGACGTTAGAGGGATGCACGGCGAAGCGTTGGGCCCAAGACAATGAGATAGAACAACATCTTGTGGACCAGCTTAGATAGGGGAGCAGTAGTTATCCCAACCACCCTAGGTCCGTAGCAGTCGAGCTCGCTAGAAATGGATGGTCGGCCATGGGAGGTTAGGTGTGCTTGCCTATGGACTATGGAGAGAGGAGAAAGGAACATGCATCTGGGGGCAATACCGTAATACCCAAGTACTACCCTGTCCTAAAAACTCGCCATACTAGAAAATTTCGGACAGATTAGTGCCTAACTCAAATGATCGTATTTACTAGACATGGATAGTTGGCTTAGTTGTGCATGCAACTATAATTAAGGAGCAAACATGATGCATGCGGATGAGAATTGGGCACATAGGGGGAAGATGCGCAGCTCACCACTTGATATAGGTGGATCCCAGTAGTTATTCCAAAGGTTACACTGACAACAGATTTTGAATCCTCAAAAAGCGGCAAGACTCAGGTAGTAGCTGAGAAGCTGTAATGATATTTGCTTATAAATATGTCAATTACAACAACATATATTTGAAAACTGCAGCAACATATCTTTGAAATATGATACTTTTAAGGGTGTGGCTAGCGCCCAAACGTCCGGACGCCCCGTCCGGACGCCCGTGCTGCTGCCCCTCTTCTCGAGTCCCGCACCTACCGACCCACGTCTCGTCTGTTGCGCCTGCCCGCAAGCATGTGGGGCCTGCCCGCGCCAGTGGGGACCGCCTCTGTCTTCTCGCGCCTTACACCGAGGCGAGACGGTAGAAATGCGAGGAGGGAGATGCAATACTTGATCTAGTTTTGAAACATCCAGATGCAGCAATTGCAATATACGTCTGAAAACAAATGAAACATGTGTCTGAAACACTTGTAAAAACACCTGAAAACACTTGAAACCTTTAATGTAAAGATATGTAACATCTAGGTAAAACACTTGCATCGTATTTGTGAAAACATATACAACCTCCAAATAAACACATTTGCAACATACGTCGGAAAAAACCTATGAAACATTGAGAACAGGAGCTTGCAATGTACATGTACAACCATTGCAATATGTGCAACATCCCGATCTACTTTTGCAACATCCATTTGAAACACTTGCTACATACCTCTGAAATATTTAAAACATGTGCTTGCAACATATGTTTTCACCCTTCTTCCGTACGACGCAGCCAGCCGCCACCGAGGATGATGGTGGTGCGGCCTGATAGCGGCCAGTTACGCCTACGCCTAGCCTAGGCCTGGCCAGCGACGCCCCGCTCTCCTGACCGCGTGGCCTGGGCGCGACGAAGGACGGAGCACGGCGGCGCAACGGGAGACGGAGGCGCCGCTGCACTCGCCAAGCACGCGCATGGAGCTTGGAGGCGGAAGGCAAGGCGCCGGCGACCAGCTCTGGCGGTAGCTACAGTCAGTGGGGCGGTTGGCAGCGTACCTCACGCGGAGGATTCCTCCTCTACGCAGGAGACGGAGGCGCCGCGGGGATGGGGGCCGCCGCTGGGGATGGCGGCGGTGGCGGGCCAGATTGGGCGGCGCGCGGGATGGAGGAGGCGGCGCGGCGGATTAGGATGGTTAGATGGAACACGGCGCCGTGAAGCCGCGACGCTCGAGCGCGGAGTGGGGAGAGCTTCCATGGGGATTTGATTTTTTCTCTATATGTGAGCCGTATAAGGAGAGCTTTTATTTTTTTTAATCTTTTTATTCAATATTTTAATAATAATCGCTCTAAAAAAATCAGATCTAACCCTTTTGGTCGCGCCAGTCTCGCTGGCGTGACCAAACAACGCTGTCGCGCTAACGCATGTGGACGGCTTTTCCGACATGGAAAAGCTTGTCGCACCACTCCCGGTGGCGTGACAGTATTGTTTTGTCACGCCACCTCGAGTGGTGTGACAAAACTGAATTTTCGAAAAATCATAACTCTTCAATATAATGTTGGATGAAGATGATTTTTATATAAAAATATAGATCTTGACGAAATTTACAACTTTCTAGTTTTGAGTTTTTTTTTGTTTGAGAACGTTAAGATGCTCAAAAAAATATAAAATTTCAGCACCATAATAATCGCGTACCAGCTCGCCGCATTTAAAAAACAACATCTTTTTTGTATGGTGTCAAATAAAGATATATTTTACATCAAAGTTGTAGCTCTTAGTGAGATCTACAAGTTTATAGTTTTGAGTTTTCATATTTGAGGTCGTTAACATACTCTAATAACTAATATAAAGTTTTAGCAGCATATTAATTGTGTATCAAAGCTTATCTTTTAGAAAAATCGTATATTTCTTATTTGATGTTACATAAAAATATTTTTAAATGAAAGTTGTTGATCTCATTTAGAGCTCCAATTTTGATATAAAAAGTACCGTTATTTGACACGATACAAAAATGATATTATTTTTTTTAGTGCGACAAGCGCTAGTACGCGATTATTATGCTACTAAAATTTTATATTATTTTTTTGAGCATCTTAATGACTCCAAATGTTAAAACTCAAAACTTCGATCTCATTGAGAGCTACAACTTTCATGTAAAAAGTATCTTCGTTTTGACAACATACAAAAAAAATATTTTTTTTCTAAAGCGACAAGTACTAGCACGTGGTTATTATACTCCTAAAATATTATATTATCTTTTTGAGCATCTTAACGACTCCAAATGTTAAAACTCAAAACTACAAAGTTATATATTGAGAGCTACAACTTTTATGTAAAAAGTATCTTCATTTGACAAAATATAAAAATATATTATTTTTTCTAATACGACAAGTACTAGTACGTGGTTATTATGCTATTGAAATGTTATATTATTTTTTTGAGCATTTTAACGTCTTCAAATGAAAAAACTCAAAACTACATAGTTGTAGATATCATTGAGATCTACAATTTTAATGTAAATTTCATCTTCATCCGACTTTGTATCAAAGAGTTATTATTTTTTAAATGTTTTTTCTTATCATGCCACTCCCGGTGGCGCGACATAACAGTACTGTCACGCCAGCGGGAGTGGCGTGACAGCGTTTTCCACGTCGGAAACGCCGTCTAACGTGACGGATGTTGCCATGCCATTGCATGTGGCACGACAACGTTATTTTGTCGCGACAGCGACCGCTGGCATGACCAAAAGGATTAGATTCGCAAAAAAAATTAGGCGCGATTATTATTAAAATATTGAATAAAAAAGGATTAAAATAAAAAAAATCCGCCGCATATGCGGCGGCCTTCTGGATGTCTTAATGGTAGCATTTAAATCCAATTAATCCTAGAAAAATAAATTGCTTCCCAACGGCCTCTCAACGGATACAGAAGAGTGAACGAAAAAGAGCTTCCCGTGCTTCCCACCGAGTGCCAAAAGATTGTAACATTTTCGTCCAAAATCTATGAGCACTTTCGGAGGCCCTACGACAGAGGATCACAGGAAATGAGTCATCCACCAATCCCCATCGTTTTCTGAAAAGATCTTCTGGCATGTTTAGCCCGACATTAAGAATAGTTTCCGTTCCATTCATTCCCCAATCATGCAAATTCATATGATTTGAGTCCCCAAGGTGCCAGTTTCATTTATCTGAGTGCTGATTCAGGACTGGAAGTTACCTCAGCATTATTAAGACTCCCTATACAATATGCCAAAAAAAATGTAATTCTAGGTGCATTCTTTGTTGAAATATCTTAAGTCTAAAGTTTATCAAATATATAGATATAAAAATATTATTGTTTATGACATCAAAAAAGTATAATATATATAAATATATCTCACGACAAATCTAATGATACTTATTTGTTCTCATAAATATTGATATAGCTAGCCCAAACTCAAGATACTTCAACTAAATATTGTGCTAGAATTACATTCTTTTCTAGACAAAAGGGAGTATACAGTATAACTTAAATAGTAAGCCACCAAAATCAAAATGACAGGCACACTTTGTCTAGTAATGGGAATCTATCGGTTCAATCAAGAAAAATATAGCATTGGCTTGGCCGTCAGCAGACTGCAGCTTAAAACAAACACAATGAACACAGATAACACCAATCACACATCAGATGAGACCCAACGTCAAGTGAAGTAATATAGTGGAATAAGCAAATGTTTCATTCCTGAAGGAATTCAATATCACAGGAGAAATCCAAACACTTGAAAGCTAAGGACACATTGAAGCCAACACTTGAAAGCTAAGGACACATTGAAGCCATTGAAGCAATCCGGCAGCAGCATACTAGAGACTGAGGTATGTACACAGGTTTACGATAGCAGCAGCCTGCTAGTTTATTTAAAGTGGCAGGGGCGGTTGCTCTAGGCAGAGCCGAAGGTGTTCTCGCCACTGTAGGTCATGTAGAGGAAGCCATCCTCGTCCTTGTTCTCTTCGTAGATCGCAGACATCAAAGAGGCTGCCACAAGAGAGTATTTAAAAATGAGAACATAACAATGAAGGAGCAGCAACGATGAATGGATAGCGATGTTTGTTCAATTTATACCAGTCGGTGGCAAGGTGTTCTTCACAAAGACAAAGATGGCCTTCTCTGGGCTCAGCTTGATCCTCTTCCTCACCACATAGACAAACTGGCCGACAGTGAGATCAGCAGGGACAAGGTACCTGCAGGTGTCAACAAAATATGGATCAATGTTAATGAAAATAGTTAAGACCCAGAGAGCAACAAATAGATGGATTAGTCATGTTTTGAAGAACCCAATCAAGAAGATATGGAAAAACACAGGCTCGCTTCACCATGGTATATCATCTGAATATGACCAGCATGCAGATTATGGTTGCACACAACGAGATTTCAAGCAAACATAGCAAAAACTACCAGCAGAACATAAGAATATCTAGATGACAAATTACTTCTTCTTATCAATCTCAGGGACATCAGTCTTGCCAGCTTTCTCAACAATCACCTGAAAACATTGAGGACAAAATCAGCAACCAAGCATGCATGCATAAAAAATGCATGGAAAAATTGCTGAACATATCTTACAGGAATTCTGTCAGGGTACTTATCCCTGATCCTGGCAGATTCAGCCTGCCTTTTTTCTGTAATAGTAAATAAGGTTCAGAACTCTAGTTAAGAAAAGGGGAAGATATTGCACAAAAAAAGGTGAGAACAAATTGAGGCCAACACACACAGCTTGACTATAATCAACTACGTGTACAAATAGGACCAGAAGTATGCAATGAATTCTTCCAGGTTAGGAGGTGCAGTAAATAGACCAAGCACGGTGTGGTAGCCATATGTTGAAAACCAGTACATTCAATCCAAGAACCAATGCAAGTAAACTAGAATCAAAAGAAAAAGTAGACCATGTATTATAAATATAACCTAAATTAGTCATGCAAATCAAATGCCAAAACATGAAGATGATACCATCTGCAATCACATGGAAGTACAAACAAACTAATATAACGGCCTTGCTCACTAATAATTCTTCCCAAAAAGATTATTGTTCGGAGAAAGAACAGATGCACAAGAGCTATACAACACAACAGTACTTTTAAAAACAAAACTAAAGGTACCAGTTTGATCCAAATTACATAGTTGTTGGAACATATAAAATAGATGAATGGAGAGCTATGCAAACTTCTTTAAAAAGAAAAGAGAGAACACTCTGCTCAAAGGTTTACAAATTACAACATAATAAATGATAACACAAACTGAATTACGGCATAATTCAAATCAACTTGATGGTCTGTCCCTACCAGGTCCACATAGAAACAGGTTTATGAAAGATCAAAATTGTGTTAGAACAGAACACATAGAAGCAGAGTAACATAAACCATAGTAGCTGCATTACATAATTCAATTCAGGCATGGGTTGGCACACATAACATCTAAAACCACAACCCATACTCTTAGGAAAGCAACATAGACAAGACACAAACCCTTAATACAAAAAAACAAACATCATAACAATTATCCACATGCCTCTTGAGAGAAACCCCCAACTCAAGCTCCAATCAACAATGAGTTCAGTCCAATATACCACCGTGGTTGAAGTAATCCAATCTACCATAATAATGCCAGTTCAATCCAATCTACTATACCATCGACAACTTCAACCCAATCTATGAGCATCGCCACGCTTATACCAATCAACCACAGGCAAGAGGCCCAATTCCGGACCACAAAATTAACAGCGCACGAGACAAGAGAGTGGAACCAAACCAACCGAGATCGTGCTCCATCTTGAAAGACGTCTTGGCCATCAGCAACCTGATCAAGTCAACGGCAAAGACAAAATCGGTACAAGGATAGCATCAGCAATAAAAACTAAACTGACGAACAGGTAGTAAAACCCGCCGAATTCTCGCGAACTCCGGCAGCTATTTTGGGGAAAAATCGATGGAGGGGCTCACCGAGCGACGAGCTACGATCAGTGGAGCCGATCGGGTCTAGGGGTCAGAGAAATCGATGGGGCAAGTCGATTCGGCGGAAGCAGACGGCAGGAGAAGGGGAGCGAACTCGCGGTAGGGTTCGGTGGGGATGGCGTGTCGCCGCTATTTATTACGGTTATTTTCATCTCGAGTGTCGAGAAACGTCCTTATAATTCACCTATTCGAAAATTTACCGTTACAATTTTATCTTTTCCGTGTCCATATCATTTTCGGGCTGCCACGTATAAGGCATACTGTCAGGCACGTATACCTACGGAAAGGCGTACGGACATCAAGTCCCCGCCTCCTCCGCCCGAGCCCGCTATCGCTCGCATGCAGGCCGCCACGGATGAGCGATTGAGCACCGTCGCTCCGCCTCCGGCCCCCACGGGCAACCGCCAGCACGGGAGAGGTGTGCGTCCTCTCCATATACGGCGGCCCGGTGCCGCGCTGCAGCGACGCGGCTCATGGACTTTTTGGACGCGGCGAGGTCCGACGTGGGAGGTGTCCTGGCAGCCCTGCTGTTCGCGTGCGCCATTCTTCTTCTCGACCGTTGACGCCGTAGAGTGAGCAGCGCACAACTTCCGGCTGCGCTAGGCGGAGAGGCCGCGCTCGCCGGCGGCAGCCTGCACGTGAGGAGGAGCGCTCATCCGCTGCTTGCCAGTCTAGACGCGGCCTGCTCGCGAGGACCGGCGGCCTGCAGGTTGGTGCGCGCGAAGGACGCGGCCTCGCTCGGAGGTGCCAGCACACCACCAGCTCCACGGGCACGAATAGGGAGCTCCACAGGCCTGGATGTGCCTCCACGGACCACGGCGACGGCGAACTCCTCCAGCGGCCTCTTGGTGCGTTGGAGCAGGTGCCGCAGCCTGCTCTTTTGTGCTCCTCGTCTCCGCCATGCAGCACGGGACGGGGTTGGAGGCCCACGGACATCAGCACCCTCTCCTTCATTCTCTGCATCGGCGTCTTTGGGATCAGAGTGCTCGCGCTACGCCATGTGGTAGTGGCGTTAGCTCGCATTATCGCGGCGGTTGCTCGCACGCACACCCGAATCGCGCGTAGGCTATGCTACCTCCACCACGACTGCACGCCCCGCGACAACTGCGGCTGCGCAGGCTAACGACCAGAGCGCCCCCGACGCTCTCCCGTGCAGCCAGCCGCGCGGGGCGAGCGCTGCTGCTTCCCCTAGCAGCGAGCCCACGCCAGTGGTGCGTGCTTGCCGCCCCGCGCAAGCGCTTTCGGTCTGACGGAGGAGACGCGGACTTGACGTCCGTATGTCTTCCCATAGGCATACGTGCCTGACAGTGGGCCTCGTACGCGGCACTAGTAGAAAATAGCATGGATGCGGGAGAGATGAAATTGTAATGACAGATCTCTGAATAGGTGAATTATAACGATGTTTCTCAAAACTCGGATAATTGTAATGGCCTAGATCAAAATAACCCTTATTATTATGGCCTCTCTTGTGAGGCTTTTACGGCAAAGCCCCTCGAGTTACGGTTGTATTGCGTATACAGCTCCTTTTCCAACACTTTTTTTAAGTAGTAATAAATAAAATGGAACTCCTTCAGTCCTATTGCAACATTATTATTTTTAGATATACGTAATATAATTGAACTCATTTTGAAATATGAATTTGATTGGGTTATTAAAACTACAGTTAGAAGTAGACTTCATTATCCCTCTTAATTTGACAAATCGAATATATATGGATTGACGTAATTAATTTTTAAAAGCATAGTTGCAAAAATAGATATTCCGGGAGGGCGGTTAACAATCGGTGATTTTGGAAACAAACACACGATTTGGGGATCAGGAAAGCTTTTGTAGTTTGAGCTATACTACAACTACAAAGGATCGGAATCCTGGGCCCAGAGCCTACGATTGGGCACGAAGCTTCGTGCTGCATGCACGTCTAGTTGGGTCGGGCCCAATTAGTGATTGGAAATTGTTGCGAAGCCTGTCTTTTCTTGTTGATTTCTGGTGCATGTTCCATGATGATAAGGGGTGTTTGGTAGCTGCACTTCGTCTGAGATAAATTTGATCAAACTGATAAACGTTCAGTTGGTAACTAAATTTACTCAAAATTCTTTTGAACTCCACGTGTCATATAGAGCACAAATGGTATGAGACGATTCTCTTATCCCTTAGACATACAAAAATGTGTCCAAATTTTGTAGCCACCCTATTTTTTATGGTTCGGCACGCTTGCCTAAGTTAGTTGTAGCAAATTATTGTTGGCAACCAAAAAGACCTATAAATATCAGAACTAAGACATTCTTTGGTGTCTTTCAAAAAAATCTGCAAGAGAAGAGCGCAGAGATTTAAACCAGGAGCAAATCAAAATCCAAATAACCCATAACATAATCTAGTGCGTTCCACCAACAGCACCTTCGGGATTGAACATCGCGAGGGGTGGACGCGACCCGCTCCTGGCCGCCATCCCGCTGCCGCCGGGGCCAGCGCCCGCCTCCCGCGTCCCTCCCCTTTTCCCTCCCCATCCACAACCCTCTCAACAGGACAGCTCCCACCAAACCCTAGACTGCGCCTGACGGATCTCGCCCCGCCACCGCCGGTGCTCGCCTCCCTCCTATCCTCCCCTCCCCTCCCCACGTCTAGCGCTCGGTCCCCTCCCCACCCATGCGCGGGATCTAAAGCCGAGGAGCGCGCCGCGCGGCTGCTGTCACTGCCACCCGCGCCGTCCTCGAGCTGCGCCCCGGTGGCTGCCTCTCCGACCCCTCCGTCTCCGGCGGAGGACGCCACCACCATGGCCATCACGTAGTCTTGCTAGGACGCCACCACCGTGGCCATCGAGCTGCTGCACATGGAGGACGCTAGGAAGGGAGCTGGTGCTGTTTTCGCACGATGTGAGGACCCCGCCGTCCTCGCGCCTCTCTCAGGCGGCTGCCTCCCCGCGCCCTCCACCGCCGCCGGCAGGTGCTGCCACCGCAGCCACCCCAGAGCAGCACACGGAGGCCACATCTGGCGCCCCGAGGACGCCATCGTCGGATTCCATCAAAGCAGCGGACACCCAGACCCCCCTACTACGCGGGGGCCGGGTGCCGGCACCACCACGACCTCCAACAACGGGTCCGTGGCGTCCGCCGACGCTGCCTCAAGCGCCAATGCCGGCCTACACACGCTAGCTAGGTCCAAGGCCGGGTCTTACGCCCGCCAGGCTGTCATGGAGTCACCGGCCACCTCCGGCTTGCTGTGGCAGAACCGCCTAATCCAATGTCTCACAGGAGTACTTGTCTTCCATTAGACACTAAGTACTCAAGAAAGGACACTAAACTACGCAGTTCCGTCGAGCACACTCCAAGGGAGAACTCGAAAATCCACATTTTTCCATCAGGATCATAAATGAGAGAATAAAGCTTACCACATTCTTAAGTCATTTCTTACATCACTTTATTACAGTAACTGAATATTACCTCAATTGATTATAACAGCGGAATATAACAATGTTATCAGAGTTATAGAGGAAGCAAGATTAATTTAATAACATGGTGGAGCATTAACATAGTGCATATTTTTATACAAGAGATGCTATCAGATTTTATAACTTTTCTTATAAGAACCTTTAGCAAGGGTTATAAATAAAGACTACGGTCGTAGCGAAAAAGGAATCCTCTCTGAGCCCATCAGGATATTTCTACACACAAGAATTAGCTCTAAGTATCCTCCGATCACCTACAACAGGGGGAATAAAACCCTGAGTACTCGATTGTACTCAGCAAGACTTACCCGATAGGAGAAAAATAAAAGACTCCAATGATATGCAAGGCTCATTTGGCTTGTGGGTTATTGCATCTGCGGAAGCATGATTAAACGTGTGTCCTTATATTCAATTTTATTAGCAGTCATCATTAGTTCATTAATTAACCATTCTATGTAAGCACCTATGTTACTTTCAAGCAGGTGGTAAGCAATCATAACCATTTTACCATTTTCATATTCCAGTTCTTACTACGATGCTAGACCGTAGCCAAGTCGGTACCGTGTCACAAAAACGGTGATTCGCGAACCAATGTATCACAACTAGGTACCCCAAAACACACGTCCCGTTTGTACCCCAGACACAAATAAGTCCAACCTATTCCACTCCTATCATGGGGTCTAGATCCCCGTTCAAACTTGGACTCCAAGCCCCACACTTGAGACTCGATCTTAGTATGGTGCTTAGACCTCTACCTTTCCCCACCTTCAATCAGTTGGTCCGAAAAAGAGCCGAAACCCATGACAAGAGTGCAACGAGCCTTCCCGCTCCCATAAGCAAGTATGTGCTCAAAATAATAAGTCTATGACCTGACTACCATCCACAACAAGAACGGTCCTCAATCGACACATGCGGAACAAGTGCAATCCGAGCCTCGCTCGAATGCCTAACCAAGACCAGATCCAAAGTACCATTCCGCCCGGTCTCCAATTATCATCCATATATATTCCATGTGACAGTAATATAGTAACAATAATATCTTTCCTATCTCTCGTGAGTGATAGGTAATCACTCGACTTCTACTGGATCCTATAGCATAGCAATCTACACGATCCTGACATACTAGTAGGATTCATAGGATAAGAATATATATATGCAAATGGTTTTCATTCAACTTCTTAAAAATTAATGCACAAGCATAAGATAAAAGTGCAGAATAATAGGGGTTATGCACCGGGGCTTGCTTGAGGCAAAATATAACCAAAGATTAGCATTCTATTGGTGACACGATCTTCAAGGCACCATCTTTTCCGCTACTTCGGTCGACTTCATGATCCATCGTTGTTCCTATTATGATATACATGGATGCAACGCACAGACGTAAATAATCAATGGAAACCGAAACTCTTAGAAATACGATTACGCCTCGCAAGCTAACGAGATAGCTCTAATAACTAACGTGCTAGGCTACGTATCCATGTTGTCAAATAAGGTGTTGTTCCCCAACAAGTGTTTTAGCTCTAAACTCTCAAGGTGTTTCGGCATTTTATGGATTAAATATATATTTCCGAACAAGGGCTCATTTAGCTACCTTAGCAAACTATTTATTATGGAGCTACAAAAATTATAGTGAGCACATAATAATGTTAGGAATTTACTGCTAAAGTTTCAGAGCCAACACTAACACCAATTTATCACAAAATTCCTACAAGTTTATATTTTAACAATATTAAGCATCTCAAATTAATCATATAACTCCTAAAAATATTATAAAACTACGCAAACAAAATATACTAGTAGATAGATCATGATTTTAGAAACCTAACAAGATTAGTTTCACATTTTTTGGTTAACTACACTATTTTATATTGAATTTACAAGTTTACCTTAGAAACTAAATTAGAAAATACATTAGAAAAAGGAAAGGGACGGCAGCAACCCTTTTGGTCCGACAGCCCAGCGCGGTGCGGCTGCGAGCGTGTCACGATGGCCCATTACGGCCCAAAGCCAGGGGCACCGCGCGCGTGTTGTCCGTTTTGCAGAAATACCCCTGAGGTTTCACAGATTAATACGACTGCTATGCGCACTATTCCTTCCGTCAGTAATTTTGCAACCAAACCCTCAAATGTTTTCGCCTTTACCACGGGGAGGTCCCTGGAATCCCCGCGCGCGTCGGCACGGCGGTCGACGACACAAGGCGGTTACGCCGGGCAAACCAGGCTCTATACGATGGAATTAAGGGACCGACCACCATCTACATATAAATGCGCAAGGATGGGTGGCGGTTAAGGACTCAGAGGTGCACTGTCGTGGGCTGCAGTGGCAAGCGGCTATCCGCAGTGGTGGCGCGACTATTCCAACGAGCCTACGTACGCTCGGTAGAGTAGAAGTGGCGGATAAGCATTAGTGGCTCACCGTGGTGTACGCCCGACTGACGGTTGAAGCAGGGGAGCGTTACAACGATATGGCCACATGCAACCGAGCGAGGCGGCGGCGCTCTGCGATGGACACTGGTGCGTCA